AAAGTAGGGTCCCTTTTAGGGTCCTCTTTATAAGGCTGCCGCCCTATATTTATATTGGGGACCTAAAAAGGGGCCCTGGCTTAGAGAACAATCCATTCGGGCGTTCTAGAAAATGAGGGTTCTCCGTTACAGGCGCTAAATAGTTGGATGCTTCCTGGAAAGGGCCCTTAGATAAGATATAAGTGTAAAGCAACCACATAAGGAGACCCTAAACACCCTAAACCCTAAACCCTAAGCCCTAAAACCCTAAAACCCTAAACCCTAAACCCTAAAACCCTAAAGCCCTAAACCCTAAACCCTATCTCTAACTCCCATGCCTTCTCCATGAGCTCGAAAGGTTGAGGAGATGGATCCCTGCATTCCGCGGTTTCGAGTGAGGAAGGACCGATTGGTGCCGACTGTCGACTACCCATAGGCCCCATAGTAGTTCCTTTTTGGGATTACCTAATAGGATCCTAAATACAAACCACAAAAAGGAATTACTTTAGGGCCTATGGGTAATATAGAAGCCTAAATAATTACCAATATCATTGTTAGGGTTCCTTTTTCCAGTAATACTACAAAGGAGGGCAAAACCTTCTTCTAAGTATTATAAGGCCCCTACATTAAGTTTCAGCTTCTGGGTTTGCCTGGCAAAGCCTGCGCCCACTAACATAGGGGCCTTAATAATTACCTATACTATCTTGGGGGTTCCTTATTATATTCATAGTATAACGGGCCCCAAAACCCCAGTCTAATTATTGAGGCCCCTACATTACAGTAGATATGAGGTCATGATAGAAAAGTTCAGCAAGCAGAACACTTCTTGGAGGATCATGGGACTTAGTAAGTAAGGTTATAAGTCCCCTAATTGGGGTTATAAGTATAGTTACCTTGGTTATAACCCTACTTACTAAGTCCCATGATCCTGTAAGTAGTTGGCAACGACCATCCCCCGAGGCCCTGTGGCCTTTCGTAGCCAACGGCGGGTGAGCAAAACGCTGATGGACCACGGCCCAAGTGTGAAGCAGAATCGTCTGCAGTTTACAGCCTCAATCCCCAAACCCTGAATTCCTAATCCCCTAAACCCCTAAACCCCCTGAACCCCTAAACCCTCTAAACCCCTAAACCCCCTAAACCCCTGAACCCCTGAACCCCCTAAACCCCCTAAACCCCCTAACCCCTGAAGTCTTTCCCCCCCAAAACGACGCCCTGAGCCCTCGACCCTGGGCGTGGGTCCACGCGTAATTCAGGACCCACCGGCGATCTCCACTGAACTGAACGGTGTGGAACTGCCAGATGCCTGCTTTCTCAACGATGCGACGCTTGGGACAAGCTTGAGTGGCGACGAGCCGCCTTGTATATTATATGTGGTCTAATTCCGCCATGATACCGTTGTATTTTTCTGCTGTTACGCATGTCGTTGTAGTCATTGTAGCCGTCGTAATTAGCAGCACTAGCATCAACATCAATATCATCTTCTTCATCATCTCCATCATCATAGCTACAAGCATCATCAAGAGAAACTCCACCATCACCAGCAGGCTCCATGGCCCTGAACCTTGAAGCCTCTGTCTACTTCTATTTCTACTTCGGCTCCTACCACAACTATCACCTCCGCAATCACCGCCACGACAGCCACAACCAGGCTGTGCTGTCGAGCCCTGGCCCACGCCTGCCTGTTCACTTCCGCTTCTTCTAATGGCAGATACGAAGGCTTGGACGTGCTTGAACCCACATCGGTCGGGAGATCGAAAGATGCGACAATGTTAAGGCCCGAACATGCCCGAGCTCTTGGCTTGGGATGTGTAGCACGGAGTAAAGGTATACAGCAGACGGGTATAGTTATACACGAGCTCGCAAAATTACGACAGCATATCGCACATGGGATTGTACATTCGGTCAAGTTGTTTGGGGTTTCCTTATTATATTCATAGTATAACGGGCCCCAAAACCCCAGTCTAATTATTGAGGCCCCTACATCACAGTAGATGTCAGGTCTTTTTGCTGCGAGGTTGCAGGCTCATCAGCTACTCCCGAAATTAAGGAAAGGCCTGCACCACATCTTCGTGATCGGCGACTGGGGCGGCGTTATCGACTTCTTCGACAAGAATCTTAGTTTCCCAATACCCAACCTTCAAACTTTTCAAGGTCTTATATTTTAGTAATTTAGGAGTAATCTGGAAGTTTAACCTTTTATTTCCCTGGCGTCTTGGGGAAGTAAGGAATGTGAATCCATGGGAGGTTCACTCGCCCAAGACCGCAGACCACACCAGCAAGGCCAACCTGGCTCTCCTAAACTACCGGAAGTTTTTTCTGATGTCCGTATACCATACCCATAGGCCCCAGAGTAGTTCCTTGTTTGGGATCACCTTTTAGGATTCTAAATATGAGACCCAAAAAGGAACTACTATGGGGCCTATGGGTACTCCTAGCTTAGCATTTAGAGGCACCTCCTTGACAGACTTGGTAGTCAACGTATTAAGTATAGGCACTTGGGAGGAATTTGGTGGGGCATGTGGCGACAGGATGTTGCAGTTGAATCTCCCCCCGCCCTTGTTGATTTCAAGGCTGATGCAGGACTTTGGGGTTCGGGACAGTTCAGAGTGCAGAGCCGATGGAATCGGTTTAGGAGAACCTCAAAGGAGCCCTTAAAGGAGCCCCTAAAGGAGCCCTTAAAGGAGCCCTAAAGGAGCCCTTCCCTTAAAGGAGCCCTTAACGCCCGGCAGCCAGTGCGCAAGCTATCCCGACCTGCGGCCTCCCATGGCCACATGCAGGTCTTTGCCTCCCACCATCGGAAGAAGGCGACTCGGTACCTCCAAGTTACCCATAGGCCCTAAAGTAGTTCCTTTTTGGGGCTCATATATAGAATCCTTTTTCGGGCTCATATATAGAATCCTATAAGGTAATCCCCAAAAGGAACGACTATGGGGCCTATGGTAATCCCAACAAGGAACTACTATGGGGCCTTTGGTAATCCCCAAAAGGAACTCCTATGGGGCCTATGGTAATCCCCAACAGGAACTACTATGGGGCCTACGTTAAGAACCCAAAACCCACTTTTTTGTAGGTTCTTATTATAAACCCTAATATGGGATTTATAGGGGCCCTACCAAAAAAGTGGGTTTTGGGTTCTTAAGGTATGGGTATAAGGGAAGTTTAGGAAGGTCAGTGGGGAGCTGCAGCTGCTCTTCACCTGGAGAGCTGCCATCCCAAAGCACCCCTATGGTAAACCTTAACCACCTCGACCCAAAGACCTGAAACCGTAGGGTTTAGGGTTTAGGGTTTAGTGTTTGGGGTTTAGGGTTTAGGGGCCCTGAAGCCCGAAGCCCTCCCTAAGGCCAGGAAACCCTGACTTAAATCCCGAGCCTGCCGCGACCATCAGAACCAGCCTTTGAGGTGAACTCCTCCGACGACTGGGCCCAGTTCAACGTCAGCAGGTGGGTTCGCTTTAGAGACTTTAGAGTGTAGGGCCTTCTGAGTCCATGATGAATGATTTTTATGGTCATAACAATGGTAACAATGGTACTATTCGTAGGAATAATAGATAATAACAATATAACAATAAAATGTCAATGCAGATTAGTCTTCCACTTTTGGATGCAGGGCTGAATGCCGACAGATGGTTCAGCCTACAGTAGCACAAGAAGCCGTAACCCCGAAACCAAAACACCGGCTCCCTCTAAACTCCCTCCGGATCCCAGGTGGATGTGCTACTATGCCAAGAAGTGGGATCCAGATTTTGTTGTCAACCTTGGAGACAACTTCTACTGGGGTGGCGTCAACGTGCAGTGCGGAGCGCCGATGGACAAAGTCGCGGACCCCTTGTGGCTTGGGGTCCAGGGTGCCAGTATGCCTTCCTGTTTCCTGTGAAACAGCTTTCTGTGAGAGTCGGGTGTGGGCTTCCGAACCGTAGACCCCTCGACTCAGCTTGAATGCGTCCCAAGATTCTGTGGTCTAGTATCTTTGAGTATGTTTCGCTTGAGCGAGCTTCCTGCAACCACCCCGACAGCCGCACGGCGTAGGATCCGGGCTTCCAGTGGAGCAACATCTATGAGATTATGTACAAGTGCGACGGCCTGGACGGAAGCTTGCCCGAAGAATGGCTTCAGTATTGCCCCTAAAAGCATTCCAAGCCGGCAGGCAGATGTACAAGACACGGAGCCCCTCAATCAAAGGATGGTTCAGCCTAGGGTAGATAGACGATGTACCCGTAGTCCATCTGCACCTTGCAAAAAGGCAGAGACCTTTCCTTTCGTCACCCCAGATCCCATGTGGCTGAGGAAAGCAGTGGCTTGGGGTGTTGGGAAACCACGACTACGGTGGTTTCATGTTCACCAGCGGCTGGGACCAGGCGGACACGAGTTCAGGAACAGAGAGAGAAAAAGAGAGAGAGAGAGAGACAGCACGAAGTTTCTGGACAAGAAGGTAGCTTTCTGTAAGAAGAGCACCTTGGATAGTAGTCTAGCCAAGGAGCAAGGAGCAAAGGCATGCAAACTTACCTCCCCTTTGAAACCTTCAATCCTCAACCCTAAACCCAGAGCCGTCCAGGTGATTGCGTATACTTGGTCGAAGCTGAAGTGTCTCAGAAGAAAACGCTCATATTTGAGGCTCAGGTTTAGGGTTTAGGATTTTTGGGGGATTTTGGGGTTCCGGATCTATTCTTGCCAGGCTGGGCTTTGGAGCTGCTGTCAGTGAAGTTGGGATTTACGAAGGAGGTTGTTTGTGCTCTGCTACGCCTGTGCTTCGTGCAGTCTTCCTGATTTGGCCTTTGAACTTCGATCCCTAAACCGTATAAACCCTATAAACCCAATAAGCCCCATAAACCCTAAACCCAAACCCCAAAACCCGAAACCTAAGTCCTAAACCCCTAAGCCCTAAACCCCTAAACCTAAGCCCTAAACCCCTAAACCTAAGTCCTGAACCCCTAAACCCTGACCAAGAAGAAACTCCGGCGCCCCAAAGTGGCAGTCGAGGTTCAGCACCGGTCGATGGCTACAGCCGGCCTTGTACTACAAGTGCCCGGCGGCTTTGCTCATTCTGCGGTTTAGGGTTGTAGGGTTGGGAGTTGTCGCTTTTAGGGCTTGCAGGGTTTACGGTTCAACGTTATAAGGTTAATGTAGGGTTTCCAGGAGCAGGGTTTGACAGGATGATATGGCGCTTTTTGAATTTTAGGTCGGTTTAGGGTGTACATCATAGGAGTCTGTGTTGTTTTTGGCTTTGGTCCTTGCGTAGCGACGGTCTGACGTGAATTTTAGACTGTGTGTGGAATTTAGAGGGTTAGGACGGTTGGGATTTTCAGGTTTCGGATTTGCCGATCAGGAACTGAAGGAGATGCGGTCACAAAGAAGACGCAGAGGGGTTTAGGTTGAGGGCTGGTTCCCGAATAAGGGGCTGTTTTCGGGAGCCCAACGGGTACAAGCTAGCAATGACCTACGATGGGCAATTAACCCGCATTGTGTTGAACGAACCGTTCTCAAGCCCTCCATGTGGGTAGAGGAACCCTATAGTTGTTGCTTTATCCCACAAGGAGCTCCAAACAGCGGAACAACCCTTCAGCCCTGTGAGAGTTGAGTTGAGGATGCCAGCTCAAGATAGAGTCTTCTGAGTCTTCCCAACGACTACCATGACTTTCAAACGTGGCATCTCTTTTTTCTTTCTTTCTTTTTTTTTTTTTTTTTTTTTTTTTTTTTTTTTTTTTTTTTTTTTTTTTTTTTTTTTTTTTTTTTTTTTTTTTTTTTTTTTTTATTTTGTTTTTTTTTTTTTTTTT